AAAGAGACAGAAAAAGGAAGAAAGAAAAAAGAGAAGGAGAGAAAGAAAACAAACAGAGTGAGAAAAAAGGGAAAAGAAAGAGAGAGAGAAAGAGAAAGGGGAGGACAAATAGAGAGAGTGAGAGACAGATAGAAAAAAAGAGGGAGAGAGAGAGGGAGAAGGGGAGGAGAGATAGAGAGAGCGAGAGACAGAGATAGATAGAAAAATAAAAAAGAGGGAGAGAGAGAGAGAGAAAGGGGAGGAGAGATAGAGAGCGAGAGAGAGATAGAAAAATAAAAGAGGGAGAGAGATAGAGAGAGCGAGAGAGAGAGAGAGAGAAAGGGGTGGAGAGATAGAGAGAGCAAGAGACAGAGATAGAAAAATAAAAAAGAGAGAAAGAGAGAGAGAGAGAGAGAGAGAGAGAGAGAGAGAGAGAGAGAGAGAGAACAGATCAACCAATCAAACCTAGCACTCTCCAGCACTAAGGAGCTGCGTGTTAAGACAGGCCCAAATATTGAATACGGATAAGAACATAAAATGCCTGCAGTGAATTCGGCTCCTCCCTCACCTTTAGCCATACGTGTGTCCATCGATTTCCTCCTCTCCTCTCCTCCCTCCCCACCCCAACACCATTCAGCAGGGAAAGGAATCACTACCCTTCTTCTTCTCTTTATCACCCTATGGTTAATTTACCCACTGCTTAAGCACATATAGCTGGCGCCTGGCGCGTGCTTCCCAACACCCGTCCCGTGTGTAAATCAGCTTAATAAGTTCCCACACCATTAAGTAAAAGGAAGCGTGGACTGGGCCCTATTTAACCAATGACTTGTTACCTTTCATTTGCTATGAGAAGGTCATAAAAAAGGAACATTCCACTGCATAAGAGTCATAATTAAAACCAACAACAATTTAACAGTGGGAAAAGTGCGGCTCTCGCGCACGGTAATAAACTTCCAGCGTTTGGACGTGTCTCGCGCGAGTCCACGGGGCTTTGGTTGGGGGTGCGAGGGGGGTTATCTGCCGCTGGAATGGACAGGGATGGTCTTTCAGATCAGCGGCAGCAGCAGGCATTGTTCTCTGTCAGGCAGCAGATGTGGAACGTCTCCCTGCTGGCCTGGTGGAGAGGGCCCGGCTGCTCCAGAGTGATCAAACGCCTCACACTCCCCCCGTGCCGAGCGTGGTGATTGAACGCTGGGGCTGGAGAGAGCCGCCACACAGCAGGTTACATAAGGGTGGGTGATATGGCAAAAATATGACATCACAATATTATTTTTTTTAAACCTTTTCAACTCCTTGGGACCACCGGTGGTTCCAAAACGCACTCTGTCATATTCTTCATAACTTTCATATTTCATAAGCTACATTCTAAAGGTGGGGGTCGTATGAGGCTGTAACTGTCTTCATTTCAGTCTAATAGATGGGTGATGTAATTTTAAACCCTTATAATAAAAGAAGCTGAACTCACAATTTGTTTTTTCTACTGAAAGTCGACCCATTTTTCCACAAATCTGGGCTATAAACTATAAACAGATGGCGTCTCTCCAGTGATCTGCTCTGTAAAAATTATGTTTATAAAATAATACAAAGAGCGTCTCAGATTTTTGGCTTTCAGCAGTAAATTGTAAGCATATAGCAATATGTGTATCATAAAACACATGTTCTGTTAATTTGAGGGGAGCTTTTACAAAAATAAATAAATAAATAAAATAAAAATGTGCAGATATTTCATGCAGTTACTGAATAATTTGTCTTACGATTTGGTCATGTAAATTCAGATGGACAAACCAAAATATACTCTGGTGAATAAGAGGTTAATAAATACAAAGATAATACTGAAGTCCCTTTTTCCACCATAGATCAACTAATTAATGCAGAGAGGCATCAGTTTCAATAATTTCAGTTATTACTGTGGAACTCAATTCCATCTTCCACCCAGTCAAGCTCAGTTCACATGTTTAAGAAACATCTGAAAACACGTCTCCTTAGCGTTCAATTCTAATTCTCTTTTCTTTTTAACTTGATCTGTAATTGTCTGGTCTATTACTGTAAAACATTATCACCTTTGAGCTGCCATCTCTCTTTCTTTCAACCCTAACTTGTCTGCTAGTGTGGTGGATGGAGCTTTACCTTCTAAAATCTGCGTAGTTTGCAATATATTTTCAAAATAGACTTGACTGAACAGAGCAAAACTCAGCCGACTGAACCGAGTTCCTATGACCTTCCTGATAAGCCACCAACATCAGTGATGACATCCTTCTCTGTGATCAATCATGAGGAGCTTACAACTGTTATAAACAAATTAAGTTCGTCCACATGTGATCTTGATTCCTGTTCCTGCTTCATTCCTCAAGAGGGTTTTTGATTATGTCCACAATGATGTTTTAACTACTGTAAATTCTTCTACAGGGGCTTTTAAAGCTGCCCTGGTGAAGCCTCTGCTAAAATTAATTAATAAAATAATTTTAGACCAATTTCAAACCTGCCTTTTTAAGTAAAACCTTAGAAAAATCAAACAATTAAATATTAAGTTATACAACAAGTTTCAGTCAGGTTTTCATTCTAAGCATAGTACTGAGACAGCATTGGTTGATGTGAACGAGCTCAGGCTCAGCGCTGATGCAAAAAATCCTTCTATTTTGTTCTTACTGGATCTTAGTGCAGCTTTCGATACCACTGATCGCAAAATTCTAATACACCACCGCCTTGAATATTGGGTCGGCCTCTCAGGCACAGTTTTAGAATGGTTTAGATCATATTTAATGCATAGACAACTCTCGGTTTCAGGGAAATCATTCATCAAAGGGATTTATATTTTTTTGTGGCGTTCCACAGGGTTCAGTTTTGGGGCCCTTGCTCTTCTCCTGATGACACGCAATTATACATTTCAATTCCTTATGATGATCAAGACTCTGTAGACACGCTTACCAGCTGTATTAGATATTTGTCAGTGGACGTAACAAAATTTCTTACAACTTAATAACGAAAAAAACTGAAATACTGATACTTAACACTAAGAACTCAGAGAAAAATGCTTTATAAGAATCTCAGTTCTTTAGCTTCGTATACCAAATCTGAAGTATGAAACCTGGGTGTGATCTTAGACTCTATTTGATCCTGCATGTAAACACAGTCACAAAAGTAGCTTTTCAGCATTTAAGAAACATCACTAAAGTTCGGCCTTTTCTCTCTCAGAGCGACGCAGAGAAACTTGTTCATGATATGTTACTAGAAGAGTTGATCACTGTAATGGTCTTCTTACTGGACTTCCTAAGAAAACAATACATCCTTTACAACTCGGACAAAATACAGCAGCATCCTAACAAAAACACAGAGAGATCAGATCAGTCCCGCTTTAAAAGAGCTGCACTGGCTGTCTGTATCGTTCAGGATAGATTTTAAAGTTCTGCTACTAGTCTTTAAGACTCTAAATGACCTTAAAGCACCGCTTACATCACAGAGTGTCTGTCTGTTTATGATCTCAGATCTGCAGACCTAAGAGTAGTACTTAAGCACTAATACTTGCAGAGTATAAACACAAGCATGATAAGCAGATGTATTTTTTAGTTTTAGAAATCATCAGGCCATCTCTGAAGGCCTAGAAGGCCTCATGGGTTCCCCTCTGCAATTTTTTTTCCACTTAATTCAATTGTTGATGTGTAGAAAAGTCATTTAGAGTGTGCACTGCAGTGAAACTTACTGACTCTTCACAGTGGTGGTGGTGGAAACCAGCACTCGCAATGACTAAAACTCAAACTTTATTTATGATCCAAAACAACCTATGAACCTACATGTCTTCTGAGGTTCTACATATAACGTGGATAATGATAAAACAGTGCCAAACATGAAAATATCTGAAAAAGAACAGTTTTCTTTGGGGATCATCTTTCTTTACAATGCCCAACATGTACAACTTTTCCATGAAAATACATTTTAAGCCAAAACGTTGTCAAAACTATAAGTCTGCCAACATCAGACAGCGTATTCACAACTATTTCACTTTATATTTTGATGGCTTCCGGTGAGGTCGGTGAGGTCGCTTTTACAGGCATTAAACTCCTCAGTTGATGTTTTTCAATCACCACAGTTTTGACTTTTCACATCAAATCACTCTGAACACTCACTAAGCTTTCGAATCAATATTTCAAACAGGCAAACTCACTGATTCCGCTGCATGTTCGTTAACTCGCATAGTAACACTTGGATGATTCTTTTGTCACTTGCTGGAAAACGTACATTTTATCTGACGACTCAAGCAGCTGAAGTGTTTTCTTCACTCAGCTACACTATATTTTGGTGAAAAAGGTTAAAAAATTATTTTGCAAATAAAATGACGCATGCTTTAATTCCAGCGCCAGTGGATGACGCATGTGGTCTGCACTTGGTTGAAAGGAAACTGAGATCATCTTAAATAAACACTCTTGGCATTGAGCTTTGGTTCCTATGTTGGCCTCCAGTGTTTTGCTGCCTGTGCTATGGGTCATAGGTAATTCTACCAATTTTAAAATAAAAAAAAGGATAAATAAATCAAAATGAATAAACTTTGCATAAATAAATGGTCAACATGTAAGCAAAGTCATTCAGAATGGTTTGATGTGGAATCTGCCATTCTAAAGAAACTTGCCAAGTCAGAATTGTTCACAGTGGTGACGGTAGGAACCAGACGTCTTAAATGTTAATGTCCCTAAAGTTACCTCACAGAAGCTTTTACATGAAAGAGTTCCTGGCAGAGAGGACCAAAGTGGCAAAACAGTCTGCAAAGGAAACTTTGGTCACTTTGGATATTAAATAAAATGGCTATATTTGTGTTGTAGACGTCGTGCCCCCCGGTTCCTATCGCAAACATCGTAAAATTGTCAGTACATTTCTCTAGAACAGAGCACTTCACACCAAACTACTCAGAATCACTTTACCTCTCAATCACTGAATTATGCAGAAATGTATGAGATTCTTCTTTAACTCCTATGGTTTGATCAAGATCTGAGTGGTGCATGATCGTGAGCGGCACAGTGTGGCGCACTTACCTGCAGGAGGGAGTGAAATGCTGGTGGGGGCGCTCTCCACACAGCCCTGGCTGTTGCAAGCTCTGACTTGGACGCTGTAGTTGGAGTAGGGAAGGAGGCCTCCTACAGACACCCAGTGGCCAGCTTTACCCGTACTGAGCTGAGCTCTGGTCTCCGTCACTTCCACACTGCTTCTGTTTTGACCTGAAACACACACAATCTAGTGATGATCTTTTTAGCTAATTTGATTATTGTAACATAAAAACTTACGTATAGCTCAGAAGTTCAAACAGAACTTATACCAGAAACAGTACAGCGTGGTCTGTAAAGCGTCCACAGTACTTTTCTATTTGCCGGCAGCGTTAGTGTGTTTCATGTACACTGCTGTTTCCTCTACTTATTCCACTTATTATCAAAGTATTCCAAACTGTACATGCCTTTTTCAGACATCTGAGGTGAGCTACATAAACACTAACAGTGTTTTCACATACAGTTAGTTTTAAAAGAACTGAACTGAGTTCTGTTAAAGTGAACCTGGAAGGGAACCGACTGCAAATGACCTCAGTTCTTTTTGTGTTCACAATGTAAGTGAAACATAAAGAATTTTCTTTCTGGTCCTTTGAGATCTCAGACCACTTTTTGTTCAGACCACAACTCCATTAGAACTCAGACCCCTTTCACACCATAGACGTTGTGTGCAGCGCTCGCAAAGTGGGCAGCGTTCTCTGATAAATCTGACCTTTCAGGTGTTGAGAGGAACCACCAGACCTGCTGCTCTCCTATTGGCTGCGCTGAAAAAACTGGCCGAATGGCATCGTGCAAAATTGGAAAAATGACCCTGCGTGTCTGCCGTGGTGGTTTCCGACACCTCGAGAGGTGGTCTCAGTTCAGTTCGTTTTGGGGGCCGTTTAGAGGGGTCTGAGTTTGTTTGGCGTGTTCACATATGCTAAAGTAACCATGACTCACTGAGTCCACTTCAGACGCTGAAACGGCCCAAGTGTGAAAACGCCCTAAGAAGAGTTCGGACATCCATATTCGAATAGCTGTGCCCATCTCTACGAAATAATGGTTCAAAGAGATTAGATTATACTAATCTATAGCACAAGGAGGGAATACTAATATTGCAGGACAGTGGCTTCTCTTTGCTTTGTATGTACAGCAACATCATTAATAATCTAGGTTTCCAGTTGTAGGCAAAAGTTTGGGTGCTCCTAGTTAAATTATGTTCATGTTTTGTTGATTTTCTGTGTAAATAAGTGAACACATCCTCTACAGAGAACACGCGTCTGCACATTTTGATAGATAATTACTGTTTATTTGCTGAATTTAACATATTGGAAAATATATATATATAAAAATAAAACATAAAAAGTGGCCTATGCAAAGGTTATGGTACATTTTAGATTTTATGTTTTTATTCTTTTTCCTAATGTGTTGAATTCAGCAAATAAACAGACATCATGCACTAAAAACACAGAAAAAGGACATATATAAGTATGCTTCCTGTAGAGGATGTATTAACTTACTTTTACTTAGAAAATCAGCTAAACAAGTCATTTTACCAGCTCTGTTTAAACGTCTGCCAACTGTACTCATGGGTGTAAGGCATGTGGCAAACTTAGCACAATATAAGATCAATATACTTAGACATTAAGGGGGATACATCAAACTTATCATGCCTCTATAGCAGGGGTGTCCATTCTTATCCGCAAGGGGCCGGTGTGGCTGCAGGTTTTCACTCACCTGATTCTACTGGTTTAATCAGTTGGTCTTAGTCTTCAAACATTTCCTCAGGTGTTTTCCTGCTTTGTTGGAGTGAAAACCTGCAGCCAGACCAGCATTCTGCGGATTGGACACCCCTGCTCTATGGGGTACCAACCTCTTATCATCTGTTTACACATTATGTAATTATGGCTAAGGCTTATTTCAGTCATAATTTATAATGTTCCAATCACTGCTCTGTCCAAAGGCCCTGATGAAATGTGTTGTAGTTATGCTTAATTTTTAAAAGTTTGAGTAAATCAAATAGAGAAACTGATACCAACACAAGGAACAAATACTTGAGTATTTGAATTATTCAGGCCAGCCCTTGAAACAAGTGCTCAGTACCTCGATTCCCGGTACCCATCCCTAGGAGACACATGAGTAGATTTCAACACAGAGGCATCAGAGCAAAGGAACAGCTGTTCTTCTGCTGTTTATTTATTTATTACTTCCACTGACCATTAAGCACAGACACCACGGAAAAACAAGGCTTTCCTGAGTCAGATGGAGAGATGTGTTTCAGGTGGTGCATTGTGCGAATGTGTGTGTGTGTGTGTGTGTGTGTGATGCACAGTGCCCTGCTGACACAAGGAAGCCTAGGCTTTAGCTGTCTGGGTCTTAATCCAGAAATAGGGATTGATCGCTTGTGCTAACCCAGACATTGATTTAAAAACACAGGAAGCTACCCGGCAAAAAAAAGTAGAACAAAAAATACAATTTCATAAATAATAGCAACAAAAGATGTCTTGTTCGGGTAGGGGTCGCGCTGTCAATCTGGTGAAAGCTTTATAAGGAAATGTGTAAAAAGAAAGAGGAAGGAAATGAAAATCTATAAACTTTCACAATGATGCTTTACTGTAAGAAGAAATAGAAAGGATCTTTCCAATGAAATGTTGTTTGGGCTCACTGCCTCCCTGGCAATCCCACACTCACAGTCTTAAAAAGCACCACCCCATACTCTCATTCTCCAACACACAGGCTCGTAAAGACCCCTTAAACTCACACACACCTCAACCCTGGACTGAGCACGCAAGTAATGTCTTCACTCAGACACATGCATTTGGGCACATTAACCAATAGGTCAAGAGTCAGGCCTCTCAGTCCCCAGCCACTACCACTTACTGTAATGCAATCGACCGCAGGATATACGGCCCTGCTTGCAAATTAAAAGCGAATTAATTTCCTCCAAGTTCTCACCTCTCTTCTGGACCAGATGTGCTGCTGGAGCGAGAGAGGAAGTGGGAGGAGTGTGTGTGTGTGTGTGAGAGAGAATACGTGTTCTGAGTCCATAACCTCTAGCCCTCACCCATCTGAAGGCTCTGAAATGTGGTGGTACTATAAAGAAATCAATAGACATGAAGTGCCCCAGTGACTAAAAGCACATCCACATGCTATCACTCCTCCAGGCTTGTGATCAAACTCTTAGCCGCCATAGTCTAGTCATGGTCAATAGTCTAGTACTATTACTCCAAGAGCGGGCGGTGGGTCGCACTCCATTTCAGCAAAAAGTTCAATAAGCCCATATCCCACACGTTTGTTGACGTGTGTGGGTTTACATGCCAAATATTTACAGGACAACTTTCCCACCCCTCTTCATCCCTTAGAATTAATCAGGCTTATGTTATTACTTTGCCTTTAAGGCTGATAGCTGTGCCTTTAAGGCTGCAAAAAAGGCTGATATATGTAAACGACTGTGTCATAATCAAAAAGCAGTCTAAAACTCTCCTTATAACTTCAGTTGGAATGGGCGGGGCTAAACTGTTGAATAGAGGCCTAAATTTGTATCCACAAGTTTGAACATCGCTTGTCAAATGATATGTTTTGTTGATTTTCTAAGTGAAAGTGAGTTAACACATCCTCTACAGCAGAGGCCACTAATAGGCGGCCCGCAGTCCGAGTCTGGACCCAGGCGCTGTCCTATGCGGACCTGGACTTACAGATAAACTATGGAGAATTGTGTGATTTTGACGGGGTAGTCCTATTTTAATAGGTGTAAAAAAGAGAAAACTGACAGTAAATGTTGTGGAAATATTACTGAATTGTACTTTATTTGATTTGATATTCAGTTGTCGACTGTATAAGATGTGGATATACCTACTAGGCTACTTCAGTAAACAGTATACGGCACTGAATCATGATGCAAGTTAGACATTATGATGTTCTGGACCTTCGCTTGAGGAAATTTTCTCTAAATTCAGACCTCACTGAATTTTAATTAAAGACCCCTGCTCTACAGAGACCACACTTTCACACATTTTGTTGCATAATTACTATTTATTTGCTGAATTTAACGTTTAAAAACTAAACCATAAAAATGTGGCCTGTGCAAAAGCCATACTACATTTTATATGTTTTGTTTTATACCTTTTTCCAATATGTTATACCTCAACAAAACATGTCCAGGGGCATCTAGAATTTTGCATTTATATGCAAATAAATTGGTTTTCGTAACATCACAAAAACAGTGAATTCAGAAGGAGTCATTTTTGCAGCTTAGTTTCCATATTGTTACTGTCAGAACAAAACATTTTTCCTTCAAAAAAGCAACTTTACAGGAGAAGGAGCGAAGCTTTTGTTCCATCAGTGACGATGCACTGTGATGTAGAGGTCTGCACTCCTGTGGACCCGCAGGACCCACCACAGTATCTGCCTGAACAGGACTAATATCCAGTGTTGTGTGTGGGAGCGGGCGGGTAACCAGCCCACTGCAGGCACAATTCCTGCTAATTAATGAATAGCCTAAATAAAGTAGAATGATCACTAAAGCATACATGTAATATAAATATTAAAAATATACGCAATATAAAATGATAACAGTAAATCAACTGAAATAAATGAAGCCATCCTATAGAATTGCAAAGCAATCGAACATGTGAACAACATGCAAACTCGGAGGCTTCAGTCTGACGGCCACAGCTGCCCAGCAAAACACCAAAAATAACCGCTCTGTGATTTAATTCTTTACTTGTGTTTACTGGGAATAAATGGCGTTTGGTCAAGTTACTTCACAGTGAGCCCGATGACCATGACTACCATGTTATTTCAGCAGAGAATAAGACATTTGTGAATAGACTATGTGAAGTACTGGACATCAGATTGCCTTGACAAACCGTGTGAGTGGGAGCGGGCCGTAATGTTTCAGTTGCGGGCGGGTGCGGGATGAAATCTTGTGGGAGAGGGCGGGAGTGGGAATGGAAAAACAGTCCCACACAGACCTCTACTGTGAAGCAAAAAGTATTTTAGAAAACTTTAACAATATTTAAACACTTGACTGAACTTACTAATTAAAACAATAAAAGGAAATAGGCCTTTTAATAAACTCATGTAAAAGCCAGGCCTCTAACAAGGCTGAACGATACTGGGGGAAAAAGTCACATTGTGATATTTTAAGTTTTCGCAATAAATATTGCAATATTTGAAAAACAAAAAAGGAGTAAAAA